GACCTTTTCTCTCAAAACCATCAGCAGGTATGTTAGGTGCTTTACAGCTTACTGCATTTTACTGTGTTGACTGTACCCACTGAGGTGGTGTGTGTTGAGTCCTTTGGTTTTTTTCCCATTGAGTTTTATTTTTATTGTTCCTTACAGTGTTGTCCTTGGGGTTTTTTTGCTTCATCCATAGCAGTGAAAACAAAACCTGACCAGGATGTCAGGTTTCTCTATTTTGGACTTTAGAAAAATCACCTTGGAAGTCTTTCATGGGAGTTAGGCCAAAATGAACCAAAGTCCATAACTAAAGACCTACAAATATGGGCACAGCCTCAGTCTGATTCAGTATTTGCCCTTTTTCCAATGAGTTGAGCCAAATCAAGTCGAATGATTCAGTGTAATGGTGCTGTGAATAGCCTGAAAGGCAAAGCAGGATCTCTGCCATGAAAGCTAACAGAAGTCAGTCAGGCGGTGACTGCCTGAGAGGAGATCATCTGCTATTTTACATCAGGCACCCCACCTTCCTCTCACGGGAAGGTCCTGCATGGAGTTGGACGCGTGGGTGAGTGAGAACCACCTTCTGGTCGGGCTTGCCTGATGCTCTGGGGCTTGCGGGGAGCCCTGGGGAGCTGTGGTTTCTCTGTCTTCTCCCCACTGCTCCCTCCTGCCAACCAGCATCACCCGCCAGGGTGCTGGAGTCACCCAGGCTAGAGGACACCCGGCTGAGGACCAGGTCTGCTGGGCTCTTGCACAAGCTCTTCTCTTCCCCAGCCTAAAACGTGGCTTGCTTTGGTCTCTCCACAGGATGTGAGGCAGATAGACTGGTTTCAAGAATGGCCAGATTCCTACGTAAAGCATATCTATAGCTCAGAGGATAAAAATGCTCAGAGGCACCACAGCAGCTGGGCAATGAGAAACACCAACAACCACAACTCTCGCATCTTAAAGAAGTCCTGCCTCGGCGTGGTGGTCTGCGGCAACGACTGCTTGACCTTGGATGGGAGGAAGATCTACCTAAGACCAGCTATATGTGATAAAGCTAGGCAAAAACAACAGCGTGAGTATGAACATGGCAGGTCATTATACGACAGTTTATAAGTGAACACAACATAAAAGAAACCAAAGTAGAGTATACCCTTTGGATTATCCAGCCTTTCCATTGCCGTTGCTTGTATCCAAATGCAACTCTTGATTTTGGAACAATGCATTTTATGTTTCTTACTGTTGGCGGAGAAGTTGTTTGCTTGTTTGTTTTTTGTTTTTTTTTTCATTTTTAATCTCTATTTCCGATGGCTAGAGATTGATTCCCAGCCTTCTCAGGTCCAGGAGTGAGGTTACTGAGCAAGCTGTGCAGTGCAGGCAGCTTCCTGCTGTGCTCTTCCT